TTAGTTTGCCTAAGATATTTCACTAATGCAATCAATAAAATATTGATTTTCAACGTTAGGTTAAAGTAAATTATTGGTTTTTAACGTTAAAGGAAAAAATAGTGCTGAAAGCTAAATAATAACGAATTCATGGAAGATGCGGATTAAAAATATCTTAGAAACTAAAAATCGGACCTGCATAGTGTAAAAGTTGAGCATTTCATCCTCTTTATCATCAGCTATTGTTTATAATTTATATTTCATATAATCAATCTCACCTTGTTGATGTTTATACTTGTATTTTGTGGTCCAAAGTATACACCTTGGTTTTTTTTTTTTTAAGTTTGGGCTTCCGATTCAACAAAACAACATTATTACCAACAAATGCAGATTTCTCCTTCATTCGGTAGTGAAAATTATATTACATCTAGAAGATTATATTACATAACTATCTTTGTAATATAAATATTATTCTGAACATACAGGTTAATAAAAAGATAGAACTAATTTTAAATATAAATAAAAATATTGTAATTAAATCCAAGACAAGCCATCAGGACTGCATCAGACAAGACTGCTGGAGTTTCTTTATGAAAATAGGTGTGGAAGCAAAAAACAAAACCTATCAATGATACAAATAATCCGGTTATTATAAAAAAAAAAAAAAAAAAGCTGCAAATTATTTTACAATGGTTTATTACTTCCAAACAACTATACATCTAAAGTAACATTACCTTTCCAGTTACAAAGAAAAATAAATAAAAGGTGATTCCAGTTATTGGACTAAACTTTTTTTTTAATCATTAGTAATATGCTAAAAAAAAATAGCATTACTTCAGTAACACATTCAAAATTTAAAAACCAAACTAGGATGTAACATTTGTAGGAGAACATATAAAAAAAAAAAACTGGAAACCATATCTAATTGTCCGATTTTAATGATTTTTTTTTTTAGGAAAAATCCGTGAACTTTTAAAAAACCATGTACAATATCGACGGGAGTTAAGTTTTTGAATTTTTTGGTCGATCGCAATGATTAATTATTGAAAATAATAAACCAATAATCCTTTTAATAGAACTAACGGAGAAGATTAATGAATATGTCCCAAAAAAATATAAAGTTGGTTAGATAGTTGAACTTAAAAAAAACTAATGTCTTAGACAGCAAATACAACACAAATGATCAATATTGAAAAAAAAAAAAACTAAGAAGTAGAGTCTATAGATTATAATTAGTTACATAATTATCTATATTTCAAGGTCAATGATTTTTTGTTTGAGAATATAATATTCGGGAGAAGATGTTTTTCATATATGGCCATGTCAGGACATATCGCTTTCTGGGTGAAGGGGATTTTATTCTTCAATATGGCCCATATGATATGGCCGAATGTTGGAAATTTGCGGAATAGTGTAAATATATCTCTTTGGGATATATTTTATTTTTTACTAATTTTGTACACATTCCTCCCTGTTTGTGTATATATATATATATATATATATATATTTCTTTTCTATCTACGTTCTAGAATGTAAATTACTATACTTTTTTTTTACTTACTTTTTTTATGATTATTCATTCTTTTGGACAGATTTAATATAAATTTATACGAATGATATTGTATCCTTAAGGAAGTTTGTACCACAATAAAGTTGATTTTTCTTTTTCTATTTCAATTCTATTTTATTTCTTGTGTACAAATGGTTTAGCATAAATTTCATAAAATTCCATTAAATAAATAACATGAAGAGTAATGTGAGCATTTAAACAACTAAAATTGATGCACTCATCGAAGAATATAATATAGTGGCTGTGAAATGTGGTTTGGCAGTGAATATGGAAAAGAAGCTTATATTTATTTAACAGTTATATGTACGCTGTATTCAAAAATTTAATTTAAACTCTATTCTGTTATATAATATATGTTATATTGGCTTAACAACTATTGACGTTGATTTGATCTGATGAAATTATCTAGAATTGTAAGGATTGATACCGAGATAGTCCGTTTAAGGCGTTACTCTAACAACAGCATATCATGTAGATTTTAATTCCTTATCATGGACCTTGAAATATAAGTAAATATCTAACTAATAGAAATGGTGAGGAATCTATACCACCCTATTTGGTAGGTTTTCTTTTAAGTGTAATATTTTAAGCAATAAGAGACGAATGGGGGGAAGAGGGCTAATGATTATTTTAATAATATTTTTGTTAATTGCCAAAATTTTATTGTTAAAATTAATATTTGAACCTATAAGTCCACAAGCATTATATAAAAACTTCCTTTTATTTTAAAGATGTTCCAACAAGGATTGCCTTCACTGGTGATAGCGATGCTCCAAGCATTTCGCTTCCCTCTTCCTGCTGCAGACCTTAAGCCATTTCCTCTTGGACTCCCTCCATCCACCTGTTTCTGGGCCGTTCGCATCCTCTCTAAAAGCCGACTCGGTTTGGTCCAATTCATTTTAAAAAAAAAATAATAATAATCTTTCATTTAATAGCATTAAGTAAATGAAAATAATTACCAAAACAGAGTTTTTTAGCATGGTTCCTAAAATAGCAATGTAAACAATAAATTAATGATTTTTTTTTTTTTAATTTAGTACATATGACTTTTCCACAGTCCAATAATTGTTCCTAAACTCATGAATTTATATATGTTATCATATATTTATAATTTTTTTTTTTTTGGAAAGAAAGTGTTCTTTCCAGCCTTCTGTTTATTTTAATTGTAACCACATCAAAAGTCTCAGAGGCTGCCAATACCCAACTGTGTTCATACCTCCACTCTTAATGGATGCGAGTTTGTCATGATCCCTCTGCAATGAAAACATCAAATTTACTTATTTTGATACCTATTCAAGCGAATTTCAGTTTTAAAATTGCTGAGTTTGATGTGATTGATAAAATAAAATTTGACTTGAGAGATTTGAGGATATCAAAAAATTATCTAATTATTGTATATATATTTATTTATGTTTTCATTCATGAAGCTAATACTTTTTTTTGTCCATAATGAATTTACTAGGTAAAAATGTTGGACAGGAACAATTCGGAGTTCCCATGTACATATTACACAACAATATCTATGATTTAGAAACATTTCAAGTTCATCCCCAAAACTTTCTAGGACTTTTTATATTAGATTTTTTTTCTAAAAATGTCCGCTTTCCAGCGATACATTATACTTATACCTTCTGACTGTTATTTCCAGAGATTCATTTTCGACCTAATTAAACATTTTCCTTTTATTATATATTTTTTTTATTTATATATGTTTTTCTCCTTTATTCAATTATCAAATTCTTTCAAAAGTTATTTAGCATTTTTTCGTAACTTTTAATAGTAAGAGATAGTTGATTATTTAAAATAAATCATATTAAAGGTACTTTAGAGGAAGACGTATATGAACATTAGGCATTTAAGCCCTGTAAAGTGAAGTGATATCAACGGGGATAAGACCTGAATGATATTAAAGACCACTTAATTATACAATAATACACCCAGTTTAATCAAAATCGTTAGAGCCGTTTTTGAGAAAGTTGTAAAAATGTGTTTCAAGGTTGAAATAAAGTGACACTTCCTCCACTTTAAGGAAAAAGTTGCCAGGACATCTAAGGCATATGATCTATCTTAAATATGCAATATCAGTTTCGTACGACTTTTCGGTTTTGAGCTAGAGTGTTCACATACACACAGACATATAGACCATTTTTTGGGACTTGGTTATTTGGACTCCGAGGACCTCAAAACGTATATTTCCGTTGAAAACTCAAATTCAAAAATTTTCACTCATTACAACAATTTTCAATTACAATTTTATTTACAATTTAACTCATTATTACAATTTTCACTTATCCAAAATTACACTTACTATATATTACATATATAGATAAGTGAAAGTAAAAAGTGAACCCTATTTGACTTTTTTTCGGAAATCAACGTAAGTCTCTATTCCTATATCAAAACACACAATGAATCCGATTTAGATTTTTTTATTTCAAAAATGGACCTAAATAATCAAGAAATTAGTGTGACAATATTTTTATTTCCAACACTGCTTTTTTATTTTTTTTTCAAGAAATGTGATCATACTTGAGTTTCTTTGTATATAAAAGAACACATCAAAAGCTATTTAAATCATTTCATTAGAATGTTAAATTTAAATGACTGATTCGAAAATGAAAAAAAATTTATTCTATTGTACCGTGAATCTTACTTAACTTTTCCTCTTCAAACCGATCTCAATAAATCTTTTTTTTTCCCAAAACGGTATTAAAGTTTATTTATTCCAAAAGTGGCCCTCTTAAAGTTTCAAAGTTTTTAAATAACTATTCAAAAAACCAATTATTTTTGGTAAAATATGTTATAAATAAAGAATTTGTTAATTTATTTTTTTAAATTACAATTGGAATAAAAAATACTGTTTTTCGCTTTTTCTGAAAGAATGTCAGTTGTAATTGGGGTTCACTTTTGAAATTAACGATGCAAAATTTTTAAATCATCTTTAAGCTAACAAATAATTAATAATCTTTAGAATTTATTTAAAATCTATTTCATCTTATTTTTACGAGAGAAGTGCATGGCCCTCAAAACATTTCAGGCAGTTTTCAGTAGATGATAACAGATAGGGTAATAAACTTTAATAATTTTAGCCATGATAATAAAATTTAAATAATTAAATATCATTGAAGCATAAATATAATTATTTAAGTAGGCTGGTAAGACAAAGTTTAGTGATATGTGCAGGCACATCAGATTTTTTATTTATAAGATTTATAAATATTGCAAGGCATAATTTATTGATAAAGAAACTGTGATAAGAAAGTTCTGCGTGGTGACTATATAGGATCGAGAGAGGCAGGATCCTTCCCACTTCCACGGCGAGAGGACTAGGATTGGATTGGCCAAGATTGGAGGAGAGCGGGGATACGGGGACACCCCCCTAGGGGTTGTTCCGCCCCCTTGGGCCGCCGTGGAAGGGGGCCTCTCAAGAGAGCAGTGTTAAATATAGACTCGTCCGGGCAGGACCCAAATATGGGCCAATCTCGAGTTTCACCAGTCGTAGTGTAGCCTCAGTCGCTTGTGTTCTCAGTGAGCTGTGTTTGTTATCTCTTATCAGTACTATACTCCACTGTCCGTTATCAACGCCGAGACGGTGAGTTATCTGTCAAAATATTTCTTATTTATTGTTATAAATTTAACCTCAAAGGTAAATAAAACGTGCATAGCAAAACAAACAAATTATATTTTATTAAAATAAAAAAAAAATTTATATTAGTTTATAGAAAACTTCAAGCTTTGTACAAGCTAATTGAAAAAATAATACTCCCACAATATCATGTTTTTGAATAAATACACATATTTATGTTAATAATCACAAAAATTACAATAACATCATTTATTATCATTTAGTTATTATTTTAATTTCATTTATAGTTTGTCTTATCTAAATGCATTTCAGTCAGGTATATTTATTTTTTCTCCTTAATTTATAAAACCTTTTTTTAAACCATAATTTATAATTAGGTTTTAATTTTTTTTATTTAATTTAAAATTAGATGTGCCATAAACATAAAATAAATGATGACAAAAAGCTGTCAAAAACTCCCTGAAATTCTTCAAAGTTGTTAGATATTATAAAAGGAATTAACATGTGGCCAATTTTTCTATAGGGTAAAGGCAATGAAAGTAAAAATTTTGTTTCAAATTAACTATTCAAATCATCAAATAAAGTAACAATTTAATAGTAATTCAAATTAATTGTAATACCGTTCTTATGCTCACTTACAGAAACGTTTATTCGTTGAGTTGGAGAAATATAATTTATATTATTAGATTATTGTATTAGCATAATTATATTTTAATTTATTCTTTTTGTTATTAGTATTATAGCATATATTAATTTTATTATGATTTTTTATAGACTAAAATAATTCATAAGCTGTTTTAATTATCAATTCAATTAGCATGCTTTATGATATTATTAGATTTTTTGATTACTTTGTCATTTGATTATTTATACAATTTACAACGGTAAATTAATATTAATAGGTTTATAAAAAACAAGTAATTTTTCTTTAAAGAAACTGAAAATAAAATTAATTGCTTAATTTTTTTTAAATAACTAATATTGTTCCGTAAATAGATTGTAGGCTACTTAAGTATCAGGATTCCAGTTTGTTAATTGTTACTGGAGAAAGAAGTAAGTGTTTTTGTTTTCACTAAATTCTAATAAAATATTAAAAAGTCTTTGATTATTATATGAAAAAGAATTTCACTGACCGAAACATTACAATTTTAGTAAACAGCACGAAATAAATTAGGCTAGAGTACGCATTATTTGTTAAAATGGTAAATGATATCTTATTATTAATTAATAGTCTTCTTCTTATTAATAGTCGAAGAGCATTTTCCCTTTTGATCTTAGAATCTATAACCTACCCTTAGTTAATTCTTGTTTTTCACACATTTTTTTGTTTTGGGCACTGTCAATTTTTGCAGCAAGGTTCAGATTTATAGATCAAAGACAGTGAATGTTCCATAATTGAATCATAGTTGTTCCATAAAACTATATGGAGTATTTCTAATATTTAAGCAGTTTTTAAAGCTTAAATTCAATTCATAATTAAAAAATCCATACATATGAAAATGACATGACTAATGTAAAAATTAAAAATATTTTATATGCAATTATTTACCTTATTTTCTGCTGACAGAAACATATTAATTGAAAAACGGTATATTGTTTTGATGAATTGATTGTTTTGAAGAGAAAATAAACAAAATTCGAAATGCGTGGTCAGGAAAGCCTTTTCTTATCTTTGTGTTTTTGCAGAGATGATTTGAAGTCGTCTTATTTTGGATAAGTTGTGCATCTCATTCGTCTTGATGGCTAAAGGATATTAAGAATGTCCTGCGCGTTCCTGATGGGACTCGAAAATATTACTTAATCCTCATCCTGAGCTGGAAAGGGGAATAAAAAAATTAAAAATGTGGTCGGGATATTTTAGCCTCAGTGACAGGAGTGAAAAATGGAAGGGGACCACTCCGAATATTTCCACCAGCGGCATTTCTTTGTCATCAATGATTTATAGAAACCATGGATCAAATTTCAAAGAATTAGGAAAAAAATCTGTGACAAATTTTAAATTTAGAATTCACCGATTAATGGTTTTATTTTATATTGTTTTTTTATAAGTGTCAAATTTATATCGAAATCGTATTCGTATTGATTTTTAGATAACTCATACAACAAATCACATCATTTATAGTTATAATAACATTATTCGTAACATTAATTGGTCAGTAATTGGAAGAATTGAAGAAGGAACTTTATGATCTTTGACCTTTGTGTGAATATATTTTTTTTTTTATGTATCATAACACTAACGGATACAGGATTTAATTTTGGGGAGCTTCAGCTCGAAAGATTTTTTTTTTTTTGTATAAGTATATTAGGATAATTACTTCGGAAGAAAGAAAGAAACTAACTACCTTTATGAAATGGTATTTAAGTAATTCTTTAAATCGTATTAACTGTGATTAGACGAACAATAATACTTTTAGAGATAATGTTTTTCATAAAACATGGCTATATTTTACCATTTTGGGGGGAATTTCAACCCTAAAGCTTCCCCTACCTCCCTCCGTAGATCCGCCCCTGTGTTATACGAAATATGAGATAGTAAATTCTCTATAACTTAATTAATATATTTACAACTGTGATAAAAATACAGTGAATAATCGACATGCCAGTGGTCCTACTGGCATAGGTAGCACTCCTATAAGGGGTCCTGAAGCCACCTTCTTTTCAAATAGTTCTCAGTATCTCATATCTCAATATCGAATAGGAAGCAAGATTAAAGAATAGGAGGTTTGAGTGAACGTGGAGTTTATATTAAAAGAAAATAAGACACACATTCTGAACCAAATCAGCAACATATTGAACTTTAACATTATTACCGATAATTTTATTTGTTACATAATATGAAACATTGAGGGCATAACAAGAATTCTAGGTTTCATACTTGTAGAATATAGGAGGAACTATTTGGGGTTGTCGTAAAAAAAACAACATATTTTTATAATTAAGTATTGTAATCGTTGAACTATTTATAAAATAAAAGAAGTATCATTATCCTATTTTAGTCGGTCATCCAGATAATTTTTGCTATGACAGTTGTATAATCTGCATACTTCGCTGTTGCAGTTTTGGAGCTGTACAGTATATTGTGCCTACAATTATAATTTAGTAATACATTGAGAAAAATTGTCAACCTTCCTTTTTATTTTTGCTTATTCTTTTAACATTTCTATGTCTCGGGCTTATTTTCACATATATGTTAAAACAGATGTTTATTTCTGGTGTTTATTTCAGATGTATCAGTACTTAATTGTTTCACTTCTATAACGTCATTGATCCATAAGAAATATCTTGTTATATTTCAATGGAGTGCCTATTATAAACTACTTATAATATTGCCTTGTGTGTAATGTATACCGTACCGGCGAGTATTGCTTCTTTAGGTACTTAAGCAATGGCTGGTCTAAAAGAAGAATGATCTGAACCTATACAGAAAGATGGAATATTGTCAGAAAAAGAACAAGTATTGTGTTGGAAGAGTAGCCTTTGATGCCAGACTCAATCGAACACTAGATTTAGAAATATTCACCCTTCTTTACAATCATAAATCGATCTAATGCTGTCGCTAAATAGTATGTTACCTTGTGAAATTAGTTAATATTGAATATTTTCTTCGGAATTGGTGATCGATTATTATTTTGTCCTTCGTCAGTATGTTAGGGAATTTTCGGAGAATAGTTTCTCTGTGGTTTTACAACATATTATGTATGTATGATAAAGCGCTGTCGGTGTCCTCGATTATCAGCCATAGTAATACTTATTTGGATACCATTGTTGTTCTAATTTATCTATTATAAATAAACGTTAGATACCCCAGATATTTTCCTGGTGTTTTCTGGAACCCTTTTGTGTATTGTAAGTCTCCTGGGTGTAGTTGGGAGATGCAAGGTGGGAAGTTGGCTACACATCCTTTTGGATTTATATATAAAAAAAGTTTATGTATAAAAATGTTTATATATATATATATATATATATATATATATATATATATATATTATATATATATATATATATATATATATATATATATAGATAGATAGATAGATATAGATATAGATATAGATATATAATATCATTATGTAAACAAATTGCTGTATATAAACAAATCTTCGATTTATCTGTTCTACGATTTGCGTCAGAGTAAAAATAACTTATATGGTTTACGTATAACGAGTGGTTGATAAGACCTAGGAAATAACTTATTTTTAAGAATTTCTAATCGCGTATTACATTTTAAACATCAAGAAACAACTTCGGTCCTAGGTCTGACTGTTATCAAATGCATGTGGCGGTCATATCGCTCAACACCGTTGTCCCTTTCTTCATAGAATTTTCAGAGCTGATACTTAGATGGTTCCATTAACAATACCTTCCACTATTTTTGCATGCGACTGGTTATTATTTTTGATCCATCGCCAATGTTTCAAAAACCGCACGTTTTTAATTGTATAAAATTAAACGTAGCTATTAAATTAAATGTGTTTTGTTCTTCTGTTGGTATCACAGGCCATCTAGTTCTTTTGCCGCCATAACAAGCCTGCTCCTTCTCTGTCTGACTTGGGCTAATTCTTTCCATTTATCTGCACGCAGCTCAATTACATCTTTGTTGATTCTATCTCTATCCAACTGCTTTTTGGCCTTCTATCTGGTCTTTTGCCTTTTTTTGAGGCATTTATTATTAAGTAGAGGCTTCCAAATGGATTACTATGAGCTACATACCCAGCCTATTTTAAACTTCTTATGATGGTATATTGATTGAGCAGTTTCTGAAAGCAGTTCTTTGTTGGTCTTTCTTCTCTATGTCTTAGTACTCTGATCTCAGAATATTATATTAAATATTTGATAATAAATTAAATCAGCTGTTGAACGTATAAGATATGATGGCTCTGAAATATTGTAGGCAGTGAAAATATGAAACTGGATTTTATATTTATATTATTGTTATTTGCAGTTATATAAGTTTAGACGGTATTCGAAAATTTTATTTAAACTTTATTTTTAATTAAATCGTT